AACATATCTACTTACATATCAAAAGATTATTAGCAAAAGAGAAGGAAAAAATAAAGAGAGCGAAACAGAGGCACAATTTGAGCGAGTCCTAAACGTTGAGAGATTGAGAGCAAAAGATGTCAAGTGATACGATACGTTTGCTCTTTAAATAAGAATTAAGATAAAAACAAGCAAATTATTGTAATTTTAGTGGAAGCGTAAAAAAACAGACAAGGAATGCAAGTGTATAACAGTGTCTTTGACTTCCGAAGACCACGACAACAAAAATTGTAAGAATGATGACAATGATAGCGACGGTACAATGGTGATTGCAATTGTGGTGGTGATGGATGTGAAGAAAATCTATCCATTTTCATATATAGATATATATATATATATGTAGCATGTTCGTTACACTGATATCAATAAAACTGGATTTGAGAGACCAAACCACGCAATTAAGAAGAATAACATAAATAATAAGAGTAGAAATGGGTATACTTGCAACAACAACAACAACAACAACAACAACACATCAATACAAATAACAATAACAACGAAACAGTAGCCTTAATTTAATTGAGAGAGCATTACTTACAAAGAGTAAATATTATGATTATTCATTTAATCATTTAAATCGCTAGCACACGCGTCCCCTTCACACATAAACATACGTACAAGCAGCCAACATATCAAAATTAACAGCTGATGAAAATGCTAAAATTTAACAGGATGTAAAATAAAACGAGTTGCATGCGACAAGTTTGCTTAAAACAAGTCCAAAAGCAACTTGCGGGAGCTAACATGTCTAAGCGAACTTTTAACAACTGCAACTTATACATGTATCATGGTACGGGTATGTTTATAGGCAACGACCTGTACAAAATGAGCATCATTTTGTATGTACATTTGTGTGTGCGCATGTGTTTATTCCTCTCACTACTACAATCGTAAAGAACACCCATATACAAATCTACTAATACACTATCATCACATTGTGACGCCACTCTGCCACTAATACTATCATCAACATGGCAGTCATCTGTAAATCTCACGCTACTTAAGTGACACTCATGAGGTTTTATCGTTTTACTTACACGCTTACCCATACACACAAACGCACTAACTCGCTTACAGCAGGCCTTGTGTACACATGCACATGCCCCCAAACAAAATCAATGAGATGAGACCACCCGAACGACCTAAAAATTTACAACAACAATACAATATAAATTACCACATGGACCACAATGAAAAAGTAACAAAACGCAAAAACAAACATAAGCAAAGAGAGTTAAATGAGAGCAACCAAATTAGAGAGTATTTATTTAAGCGAAGAGAGCGAACGTATTTAAACAAACAGTTAATGTAGAGCAAAAGGTAATGTAACTAAACCCTGAAAAGAGAATCGTGAAGAGAGGAAGGAGGACTAGAGTGTATCATGCATAATATATGAATACACAGCGCACGTATGCTTTGTTTTTCCATTTTGATACTCACTCGGTTTATTGAATTTCAAATTGACTTTAATACTGTTTTGTTATCACCTCAACAAGAACAAGAACAACAACAGCAACAACAACAACAACAACAACAAGAGTGTAGATATGCATGCACAAATGTATGTATATTTTGCGCTGTTTGCATATATACGTATGGTCATATGTAAATACTTACATACATAAGTATGTACATACACAAAAATTGCCAATATTTTCTGCAACTCTCTGTCAACGATATCTCTCAGTCAACGTTCACGCTAAAAATGCCGTAAAATCGTTTGTTTTTTTTTCTTTCTTTTTGTTCTTTTTCTGTTGGTATGATTTTTTTTTTTTTTTTTTTTTGCATTTTATATAAATAAAACGTTTATACTTATTTGTGCTGTATCTTGAAACCGTTTGACGTTAAACGAAACGATGTCGACTTTATCTTTATAGAATTTGTTGTTGCATTCGTTATTCAATTCGTTTTCAATTGTTTTCATTCACGGGCAAACAACTTTATTCCATTGTGTATACATAAAACACGTTACGGTTTTCTCTTTATCTTATACGTTCCCAGTTCGGTTTTCACTCTTAACGTGAGCGGTTTATCGATTTTGTTTACAACGGCAGAGTCGTGCTGATTTCGTATCACGATGCGAGAAAAAATTAGTATTAAATTTTTAATACATTTAGTGGGCGAGAGACCTGCTTTATGGGATAAAACATCAGACATGTATAAAGATCGTAGTCTAAAAGAGACATCATGGCGTGAAATTTGCGCCTTTATTAACGAAAATTATGAACGCATGCCATCATCAGTCAAAGAGGAGTTCAGTAAGTTTTTAAAGCCCTAATTGTAGTAATAAGTCTCTTCTAATAATAGCGTTAAGACGTGGTAGGGTTGCCATAAGCTACAAAAAAAGATCGAAAATGTATATACATGAACATTGTATAAATAAACAAATTGCCCTATTTGCTCATATTAATGTACGTATTGTAGGTCTTTAGGGAAATGCCAACATTATAAAAATGTCCCATACATTGCAATATTTTCGCAATATATGCAGCAAAAGGTAAATACGCTTCACTTTGATTAAATATATTATTATTATTATTATTATTCTTATTATTATTGTTATTAATTTCGCCAGAGAAATAAATTCTAAGACTAAACTCTTAAAGCACTAGCATCTAAGGCTATCGGCTTTCATTAAAAACTCTACCGCACCTGAGATATGAACCCACGACCATTGATTAAATATAATCACAGAAGCTGACTTACGATGAAGATTTTGTCGTTAGTTTTCCCCACTAGTTATTTATGAAATTGAAATCTACGAAATCCTTTAGTTGCCATGTCAATGCCTTTTCTAAAACTTTTCAATGACGTGCCTGCCTATACTACGTTTTTCGATGTCAAGCCGACAACATTTACATGCAATATAAATTTCCTTTATTAACTATCACAATAATAATATTTAGTATGTATTGAAGCCTATCTGACTTTCTTAATTTTTTTTGCAAAAAAAAAAAAAAAAAAAAATTCAATTAATTTTTTCTATAGCTAAAATGGTTGTTAAAAAATGGACTCATATACGTGATTCATGGGTTAAGTCAATGAAAAATGGCTACGATGAACAAACGTTAAGGCCAGCTAAACCTTATATATACCACGATGAGATGCAATTTATGAACAAAGTTTTACAATATCGTCGTCGTAGATATGACTTATTAGCCAAATTAGATGATGTGCTATTTAATCAAGCAAATATGGAAAATGAACAAAGTAGTCTTTTGACTATCGCTAGGAACACTAATAATAATAACAATGATGATCAAGATGATATTAAACAGATTAAAAAGGATTGTTACGATTCGAGTGATAATAATAATGGTGAATCACTTCACGTTAACGAACCTAAGGTGGCTATAGAGATTAATTCAGATTTTGATGATGACGACAATTGGCAACTGGATAACACTATTACGGCATCTTCACCGAAATCTGCTATGCTTGATTTAAAAAAGGAGACAATTACTAGACTTGAATTACCGCAACCGATGATGAGAAAATTGGAAATGAGTATGGAAAAATTGGAAGATAAACCATGTCGCAACCGCATGAACTCGTTACAGAATCCGTCTTTAGCGTTAATTCAAGATAATATGAATTGTCTATATGAAAATCGTCATTGGAACTTTTTCAAGGGTATCTTACCGTCGGTGAATAATTTGAATGATGATCAAACTTTGGAATTCCAGGCGGGCGTTATAAGTTTATTGCAGAAAATCCGAAATAGTCAAGCGAAATCTTTTAAAAGTAAAAAGCGTAAAACATCTAACGATTCAGATTGTGAATGGCCGCTTCATAATATAGATATGACACGACATTACCCTACCAGATCATCAAAACGCGATCCGTTGAGAGGTAAAGAAGTCGAGATCAATCATTTCGAGAATGAATTTGATGATGAAGATTATTCGTGAAATATTGTGAAATTTACATATAAATACAATATATTTTTTATTTTCATTTTTCATAATATATAAATGCATTATTATTTTTTATTTTTTTTTTTTTTGTCAATATGGCAACTATGTTTCCGTTTTTTTTTTTTTTTTTTTTTTTTAATTAATTTAGAAATCATGTTCTTTAATTTGTTTTATAAAAAGAAATCCGATGTATAGACGACATGTTTACGCGATCTATCTAAGGTATATGCAATTGATGATAATGATGATGATGATGAAAGACGGCATAAATGATAATAAAAACTGAAACGGAAACCGCAACGAATTAAAAACGGAAAAATCTAACCGAACGAAATATAATCAAAGTTCAAATCGACACATACTATAAATACAATTAAATGCATGCATTCATGTATACATTTATGCGTATGCATACAAACATATTATTCTCTCATGTTGCTCATTGTGCATTATATATATATATATATATATATTTTATTTCTTTTATATTACTTTTTGTATGTGCACCATAGTCAAAAGTTTGAGAAGCGTAAAACGTGAAAAATACCAGAGGCGTTAATAATGATAAATGCGTGAAAAAGAGAGATATCAAATAACAACACACAAAATAAGTGTGACAAGTTACATGCATACGTATGTGCTTATGCAGACAATCGTTTACGCTCGTTCGTACGTTCAGATATACGTGTTTAATATGGCATAACACGCACCGTTATTATTTAAAGAGAATCTATTTGCTCTGTGACATGTGATTAAGGTAAGAGAAAGATGTAATACAACAAAGAGAATTGACGCTAAAGAATGTTAAAGAGTATAAAATATTGTACGAAAGAGTATATACTTATATATTGATAGAGTGAACATTTTTTTTTGACATAATACTAAGAATTTTATTCTCCTTATTTTATGGTGAATTTGAAATTGAAAAATATGTTAAATATCTATCAACAAGGGTATTGACGTAAGAGTGTAAGTAAGTATACTAATTAAGAAATGAAGTGCCAACCTTGCGGACTTAGTTTTTTTTTTTTTTTTTTTTTTTTTTTTGTGAACAATTGATTAGGAAATCAAAGAAGATAGCGACATAATCTGTTTAGTATAATAATATTTAGTCAAATTTAGTTTGAAAGAAATCTCTGGGACACTATTAGAATACCTTCGCACTAGCTTGCTGCTACGACAAAATAATAAAATCATTTTCAAATTATTTAGAATATAACAGCAAGCACAACAATAATATTTGTCTGGAGGTGTTTACTAAATTTGACATCAACACGTGCTGGGTGTGAAGTTATTAATTGCAATAGGTTAAGATACTCGGCTCTCTTACTTAAACGCCTTAGTATTAGTAAACGGATCAAGCTCATTATCACAATATTGCATCTGCAAAATTTCATCCTTCTATCTCAGTTATTGCAATATTAAGAGGTTAGATTGCTTCATAGCAGATACGGTTCAACTATGAAATACGATTTTTGGTTATGCCTTCAAACATTCAACTGCAAGATTTGATTTATTTTATATGTTGTGTGTGATTTCAAATCTCCTAAAAAAAAAAACCTATATTTATTTCATAACACATCTTCAATATTCTTCAGATCAATCCAATATATAGAGAGAGCAAAAAAATTGGGCACTTGTCAGTAGAGCCTTAGGGCAAATTTAAATAGCGCTAGAATATTTTTTCTACATTTTTGATTGATGTTACTGCTAGCCCTTCTTTTTTTTTTTGTGGCCGCAGTTATGTCGTTACTTATTCAATTTTCGACTTGACATGCGGTCTTCTACGGAAAATATATATAAACCTAACTTTAACTTCCTATTTGAATCTTTAAAATCGTAATCCCATAGCAGCGTTTAAACAGGCAACGAGAGAAGCGAACTAATGAGAACATCAGAAGCATCGACAATCAACAAGTCTATGTATATAAATATGTATATGTATGTAGTGAACAGATCAAGTTAAATACATTAAGTGCTTATCCAAACAAGCACTTCTTCATTTTTAAGTTGAAGGCGAGATAGGCAATTTACTATCAATTTTGTCTTTACGGATTTAATCGAGTTTCTTTGATTTCCGAGGATAGCTAGAAATCAGGTGGACCGAAATCAAGCGAATTCCGATGAGTAAGTTTCGAATGCACCGTAGGAAGAGACATTATAGCATAAATCCGAACATTTTCCCCACCATTACTTTATGGTCAATAGATTCACGCAAACGACTCACAAAGCGAAAACAATGTCCCTCATTAACTCTTTGGCCCGGAAGGAAAAGTTCATAGGGCGCATACAACATAACATAACATAATCGATCTAAGTTTAGCCCTAATGATCACAGACGCATATGCGTACATAGCACATCATTCAATAAGACGTTAATAAGACACTTAATATTATAACACTGTTAACAAATGCATATGACTTCTGGATATTACCAATCTTTAAACGATACGTGTCACAATTTTATGACATTCGAACAATTAGTTTACAGGTTATAATCGTTTCAATGACATCAATTTATTACTTACGTAACGAGGCAGTTCGGAATTTCGTTTGTTGATTTTTGATGTAAAAAAATACCGTTAACAATCAGCATTACCTTCAACGATGTTAAGACGACGCTTAAACTGTTGAGAAAATAAATTTATGTTTAGTTTGCTAATTTTATACAAAGTTATATAAACACCGATGATGATGAAAGCTCTGGTTAGCCGAACTCGGCAATTGCTGAAGTGACATTGCGTGAGATACCTGGCACCCTTAAGACGTCAAAAGTCAGCCCATCCACCAATTTTCATGAGAAAGGGCCGTTTAAAGTAAGCGTCGCGTTTTTTTAATTTTGACCAAAAACAGCAACGCGTTGGAACCGATTGGGCGAAATAAAAGCGATCTTTCCATACCATATATGACGATGAATGAAACATAGAATAATTACTACATTCAAGAGTCAAATCGCCAGTCAGGCGAGTGGACAGGAACTAGCGGAGGCCAAAAAGACAAAAGTCGTCCACATTTTGAGATGCGAATGCTATAGTATTCACTAATTTACTCGACTATTTTCGAAACTGATAAAGAATCAAGAGTGCATATTATGTAACATTATAAGTGCGTTTGAATAACGAAATTACAAAAAAAAACAGCAGGCTATACCGGACCGGAGATTAAATGAGCGATGTTGCACACACAAATGTATTTTTTCTTTTTTTTTTTTGAATGCTCGACCGTCTACGTTTACTTATCAGATTCGTATCAAAATTTAGCAATGGTGATAAGTGTGGTTAGAAAATTCGCAATGGAAAGATGGGAAGTCGCGCAAAGATATATTTATATATATATATATATATAGACAGATTGGCGGAAAAATTTTGTTGTGCTTTGTATACCAGCAGATCATTTTACTTAACGTGCCTAGGCATGCGGATAAAGTACGTCATATAGGGTCTTGTCATTCAGTATACCTCTTGTGGGATGTAAGAGGACTACATTCAACTCCCTTAATCAATTTGTGAAGAACTGTAGAGTGAATAAAGTGTAGTCGATAAAATGCATTTAAGATATTGCATCTGATATGACTTCCAAGTAGCATGTAATACGTCTGGTTACTGGTAAAAATTATTTAACCCGTTTAGAAGTAAAGTTGTAGATGTTCGGATATGCGAAAGATGGTCTGACAAATTTCATATCTAGAATTTCAGCCTCAAAGAGGATCGTCAATCTGGGCGATAATGCAATTGCAAAGGACCTCGGCATTCACTATTCGACTGCTGAAGCTGCAAAAATCTTCAATTTTAATTGTTTTATTTCAAGTACGACAGAATTTTCCCACCAACCTAATATATCATATGTATGTACATATCACAGTAATCAAAATATGTGGGCCTGGCATTACGAATTACTCTAATATCCCCTATCGACCTGAAGTAAGAGCTTATAAAAGAGGCTATGAGCATGTTAAGCTCAGTTGAAAATTAAGTTTGCAATCGCAAGATTATCATGCGTAAATATTAGATGCTTTCATAGATTTTGATCATTTTTTCGCTCGAAAAAAGCATCTATTGCGAAAAATTATACCGATACCGTGTCGAAAGAACAATATTTGTTTGGTATCGATCCAATCATCGACCCATTTTTGCACTTCTTCAAGTTTGCGGAAAGGCGTGCTAGCTAAGCTATGCTGCAACGTTCTGAACAAGTGGCAATCAGAAGGCGCTAAATATGGTGAATAGGTTGGATGCGTCAGAACTTCTTATTCGAGCTGCAACAATATATCTTTGAACACTCTTGCAACGTGTCGTCGATCAACTATTGGTGATATTTTTTAAAACAATACATCGTTCAGGTTGTTCAATTGAGATCGGTAGACATCTGCGGTAACAGAGTCATGCGGTTTGAGCAGCTCATAATACATTATAACTTGCTGATCCCACCATATGTGCAGTAAATCTTTATGGCCATGAATATTCCGCTTCGGCGTCGATGGCCGATGGCTTCCGTGGAATAACCCAAGAGAAACGTCTTCTTTTTTTTATGCCTGGCAAGCAATAAAACCGCGATGTTGACACGGTTCGAAATGGCATTTTCAGTCAGTTCGTTTGGTAGCCCTTGGATCTTTATCATCGCCTATGAACGTTTAGATAAAATTCATTTATCAATTGCTAAGCTGCCCGAAAGTTCTTTAAGGATTTGAGTTGAGTTTTCGTCCAATAAGTGTTGCTATTCATTGTCTTCGAACTTTTTGGTCATCCAGATAGCTCCATCACCACTTTTACGCTGTTCAAGACAAAACAGACAATTGAAATATGATGGATCAGCATCAGCATCAGCATAAGCTTCTAAAAGTGTTTGATGGGCAACAAAAGTAACGAATGCCGAAAATGCAATTTTGAGCGTTCCACGATTAGCCTCTGTATACCGCGAATAATTCAATAATACTAAATGGAAAAGTGAAGAAGCATTACTTTATCAGTATCATCAATAGAGGTCGCTGGTCAAAATGCATGCATGCATCGTTCGAATCAGCACTAATTCATCAATT